AAACTGATTGCTCCTTCCTAAGTGGAGCACTTTGCATTTGTCTTTATTAAACTTCATCCTGTTTACCTCAGACAAGTTCTCCAATGTGTTGATTGGGCTAGTTTCAGAAACGGCCGTTGCTCTGGGGGAGGAGCCCTGTCCTTGGCTGGATGTGAGCCCTGCACAGAAGGCCCTTTTGATGATGTAAACTCCTGGCTGAGCTGCTTTGGTGGGGCTATACAGGAGCCAGGAGCTCACTCATCTTTGCGAGTGCCCTCCCTGGGAAAGGGCCAGGACTCCTGGATTCTATTCCCAGCTCAGGGGGAGTGGGGTCTAGTTGTTAGAGCAAGGGGTGGGGCTGAGCCAGGATTCCTGGGTTCTCTCTCTGGCTTTGGGGAGGGAGTAGGATCCAGTGGGTGAGTGTAGAGGGCCAGGTCTGGCGGCAGGATGCCTGGGTTTGACCCTTGGGCTTTGCACAGAGCTCAATGCGGGACAGACACTTTCTGCTGTAACTAAATGTTTTGTGACCAACCTTTATTATTTCTTTAGTCTCTTACTACCATTCCCAGACTCACTGAGTGAGGAAGCATGAGGCCTTCTGGCACCAGGGCTGGGACGGTAGAATGCTGCAGGTGTGCATTGAGGAGCACTGGCAGAGCTGGGGGGGAAGCCCAGGGCTGGGTTAGTAGTGGGCTGCCGGTCAGGACTGGGGGGTACCAGCAGGACTGGAGATGGAGTCCTGTGCTGGGATAGCAGGTGCTGCAGACTAAGGCAGGCCTCACCTTGTGACCACGAGGGCTGGAGTTTGGCGGGCTGCTGAAGGAAGGCCATGTCTGAACAGTGTGACCAGCCACACCCCCCAGACACAACACATGGGGCAGGGCCCAAGGCTCCCACCCCTCAGCACAACCCGTCCCCTCCTACAGAACGGAGCCAAACCAACAAGTAAAGCAATTCATAACAATGGACTAAGGAAAGGAGCTCACAGCCAATAACTGGGGTGAACAGGCTAACCACAGAGCCCTCCCCTCTTTCACGCTGGCACCAATGGACCCCTCTGTGACGAACTGGGACTGTTCTTACTGTGGGCTTTGAATGCTGACAGGGGAGTGTGGCTAGGATAGTCTGCATTGGGGGATGGGAGACTGACCGAAGGAGAATACCTGAGCATGTAACATGAGAACCTAGGAAGGGGTTAGAGGCCAGGCGACACCTTTGCCCGGGAAACTGAACAAAGGCTGTGGAAGGGGTCGCTGAAGGGAGGGTTTTTCAGAAGCTGGCTGCTGAGTTGGCTGGGAGGCAGACGGGGCTCTGACCTCCCAAGGGGGCTGGGGCGCCCTGGGACCCCAAGATGGACCTAACTGAGGGGGGTCCTGTTGTCTGTGCCTGCAAGACCTATCTTGGACTGTATTCCTGTCGTCTAAATAAACCTTCTGCTTTACTGGCTGGCTGAGAGTCATGGTGAATCGCAGGAAGCCGGGGGTGCAGGACCTTGTGTCCCCCCACACTCCGTGACAACTGGTGGCAGAGGTGGGATCTACTGCACCCTGTGGATGGCGCTTCCTGCAGTAAGTGACTGGGGAGCAGTAAAACAAAGGGGGATCGACGGGGACCAGGCGGGCTGAAGAGTCAAAGAGAGACGGTTCAGGCGGCGATTAACCCCTGGGAGTGTGTGACCAGAGAGAAGGACTGTTGCAATAACAGGGTTCCCTGGGGGATCGCAGCGAGCGATCCCGGGGCGGAGGAGTCTGCAGCTCAACCCTGGCAGAGAGGTGGTGACCTGAAGAAGGGCTGGCACACTAGGGGTCCCCCTGGAACGGTGGAAAGCAGAGAGCACAGGCCGGCGAGTGGCCAGCAGGAGGATGTATGTTAAACGCCTTAAGAGCGACCTGGTGGAGCTGTGCAGGCAGCGGGGGCTGCGCATTGGGAGGTCCACCAAAGAACAGCTAATTGCCCAGCTGGAGGAGAGGGATCGCTTGGATGAACCGAGCCCTGTCCCTGAGAGAAGCCGCCCGGCGGATGCAGCATGGGCCCCGGGGCCTGACATGGCTGGGAGGGGTCAGACTGCTGCCGAGGACATCCCGAGACCCGGCCTACCTATACCTAGGGGAGGGGTTGGGGGAAGCCCAGTGAATACCGAGGGCACCCTGACCCCGGCAGCCAGCAGGGGATCGTCCTGGCGGAGCTCCCTGTCTCGGGAGCGGTTGCAACTGGAATATGACAGGGAGCTGAGACTGAAAGAGCTCGAGCTCGAGTTAAGGCAGCAAGAACTGAAGCAGGAGCGGGAAGAGAAGGAGAAACAACGTCAACATGAGCGGGACCAACGTCCGCATGAGGAGAACCAATGTCAGCATGAGCTGGAACTGGCCAGGCTGAGGAGCAGTGGGACCCCAGCTGCGGTGAGCGAGGGGGGACCCAAGACTGCAAAGAGCTTTGATAAGTGCTTCCTGGCCCAGCGTAAGGAAGGTGAGGACATGGATACCTTCCTGACGGCCTTTGAGAATACCTGCCAGCTGCTCCAGGTTGACCCTGCAGAGAGGCTCCAGTTTCTCATCCCCTCACTGGACCCCACAGCCAGGGAGGTGTACAGCCGACTGAAAGGGGCGGAGACAGGGGACTACGAACTGTTCAGAAACAGTTCGGGCTGACCCCTGAGATGTACCGGCAAAGGTTCCGGAGTCAGCGTAAAACCCGTGAGATCACATACCTACAACTAGCCAACCGGGTGCAGAGGTATGCCCACAAGTGGACAGCTGGGGCCCAAACTAAAGAGGACCAGCTTGACCTATTCGTACTGGAGCACGTGTATGAGCAGTGCCCATCCGACCTGAGGCAATGGTTGATGGACCAAAAGCCAGAGAACCCGCAGCACGCAGGCCAGTTGGCCGACGAGTTTGTGAACAGTCGGGCAGGGGATAACAGGGAGGAGTCCCAAAGGAACAGTCCCACCACAATGCAGAGCGAGAGTCACCATGGGACCTCCCAGCGAGGAAATATGGAGAACCCCCACCAAAGGGAAACATCCAGCGTCAGGTCCATCCGACCCGCTCGAGGGGACCCACGGGACATGGGCTGCTATCACTGTGGCCAGAGAGGCCACATACGGGCCCAGTGCTCCAGACTCAGGGTTTTTGGTTTATAGGGTGGGCACGGGGCTGTCCCTCCGGAGCGAGTACCTTGTTCCCCTGGAGGTGGATGGGAGGAAGGTCAATGGATACTGGGATACGGGCGCAGAGGTGACGCTGGCCCAGCCCGAGATGGTGGCCCCAGATTGGGTGGTGCCCGACACCTACCTGACCC